GGAAAGAGCCTAGGGTGCGATCTCACCTGGAGCTGTGAGGCCGTGGGGGTCAGAAGGGCCTGTGGGCCTATTTGCCCAGTCCTGCCCACATGGTCTGACATGAGCCACAGATTGTGGGGGCCAGGGGATCATGGGAATGAGGAAGCCCAGGATTCTGGGCACTGTCCAGCCCGGGGCCTGGGCTTGTCTGTCCCTCTGTATGTGGTACAGCCTGACTTCATTGTCCAAAGGTGTCTCAAGGCCTGTGGAGGATGGGAGTGGGCTTGTGTCCTCGTCTTGGGGCTTAGCATTGAAATCCAAGCTTCTGGGACAGAATCTGCCAGCCTACCCTTATGAGGGAGCCAGGTTAGTGTCCTGCCCAGGGTCACCTGGCATGGGAGCGTAGCATAAGGGCTCACATGCAGCCCTACTCATATGGCCCTGTTCCGGGGCCCACTTCTACACCTGTGAACCTAAGACCTGACAGCTGGCTTACTTTTTCCCACCTCCAGGGAACTGGTACTCATTGAGGTGGAAATGACGCAGGCAACAATGGGTTAATTTGTAAATCAGGAGAGACATGTTAACAGGGAAAGGAGCAAGGTGAGAAAGTCATGCTTCAGGTCAGAATGCCTCCCAAGGCCTCTCAGTGGGCTTCTTACTCAGACCATGTTTTTCCCACTCCTAGCTGGGCCTGGCAAAATGCCATCCCTGCTTAAAAACGACAGCAAATCAGAACCACTTCTGCCAGTGGGGCAGGGTCAGAGGGGATGGGCGTGATGGGCTCAAGGGGACTTGATGTTGCCCCCTTTCAAAATGTGATCAAACAGGTTTTCACACAGTCATGTCATGAGGCTCTGGGCACTGTCTAGCCTGGGACCTGGGCTTGTCGGTCCCTCTGTATGTGGTACAGGGCAGGCATGTCATGCTCTGGGAAGTGACATGTGGGTACTGGGCTGTCATCATGCCTGGCCCTGCACACGGGCTCCAGGAGCCCCAGCCTAGTGGGGCCAGACTGGAGAGAGCTAATAGCTGTGGGGACATGAGGGGAGAGGAGATGAACTGGAATGAGGAGGGTACCTTCTCATAAGGTATCAGCTGAGCAGGGTCTTGAAGACACAGCAGAGCTAGACAGGTGGGCAGAGGGAGAAGGGTGTACTAGGCAGAGAGAGAATAGCCTGGTCAGAGGCTTGGAGGTACCTGTCTGCTTGGGCAGTGTTGAGTCACTGCAATGTAGGCTGTGGTATATTCGCTGGGTTGGGAGGCTGGCAAGGGGGTCCCCATTGTTAGAATCCTGGTATGGATGAGGAAAGGGACTTAAGGGAGCTGTGGAAGGTGGTAGGGCCCGGTTTCATTTTAGAAATAACCTTTTGGCTGTCATTGGAGAGATTAATGTGGAAGGCAGGAGCCCAGGGGAATGGAATGTGGGAGCTAAGGAAGGGCCTGTTAAGGGTAGACACACACACACACACACACACACACACACACACACATTAATGTGGAAGGCAGGAGCCCAGGGGAATGGAATGTGGGAGCTAAGGAAGGGCCTGTTAAGGGTAGACACACACACACACACACACACACACACACACACACACACACACACACACACACAGTGTGCAGTGAATTCTGGAAGGAGGAGGAGTTTCAGGAGGCTGAGATTTCTAGTTTGAGCAACTGGAGGTGAGGCCACCACCTGGGATACAGGGAGGCAGATGCGAGGTTTAGGAAGGGCAGGTGAAGGGCCGCGTGCCATGGGGTTTGTTTGAGACTAGTGAAACCTTTCGTGAGGAGACTTTCTCCTGTGTCATACGCAGATTCTCATGAGTTCACTCTCTCTGGCTGATGTGTGCCAATCTGTGCCACCTCTAGGCTGTAACTGACGTGCCAGGATGGCGAGCTGGGCTGGGCCCTGAATGGGAATGAGATGACTGAAGCCACCCACTTGCCTCATTTTGACTGAGATAAATGTTTTCAGGGTGGTGCTGAAACCCAGCCTGGCCTTGGAGCTGTGCCCCCAGAACACCCTCCTGGTTAAGCTCACTGTCCTGAGACAATAGGAATTGTGCCCTTCGCCTCACTAGCCAGGCTACACAACCTCAGCCAGGTGGTCTACCTGCAGCTTAATTTCTGAATTTGCCCTGGAGACAGAAACCTCCCATGCTTCCCACTTTGCTTGGCCCCTCCTGGGCCAGGCCTGACCAGCAATTGTTTGGGGTCTCAGGACTTGGCTACTAGCTTAGTTTACAGGTCTCCTTCTCTGAGACTCCAGATTTCTGACCGGACTTTCAAGGTTCCCTTTAGGCCCTGCTCTGGGAGGTGGTAGATTTCATTACTTGTGTATTTGATATGTTTTGAATTTGAAATAAAGTATTGGAAGTCAGAGTTTTGCCAGGGAAGGGTTGTTGGTCCTGGCTGGTTTTGTTTGTTTTATTTTTCTGGTAGATTCTATCCTTTGCAGTATTCATCCCAAATTACTAGAGCTCTTTGCCCAGGCAGGAATCCTTCTCCCTTCTGTCCATGGCTCTCCTGCCTGGCAGCCTTTAGGGCCCCCAACAGCTAGAGTCTGGCTCCCTGGAGCTTGTCACCTCCTGCCCAGCCAGGACACAGGGCATGCATCTCTTGTCCAAACCCCAGGCTGCTATCACACTCATAGGGAATTGCTAGTCCACCCGGGAGAAAGGATTCCTACCAGAGTGTAGGATACTGATGGCCTGAAGACATAGTGTAGGGGAGGATGGAAAAGCAGAAAATGGTCCTGCCTCAGTCCCCTGGAAGTGCTAAATTATTATTTCACAGGGGGTTAACAGACATACCTTCCCAAGGCAGATTCTGACACTTAAGATATGGGGGTGGGGCACACTGTAGCTTAGTGGTCTAAAACTTGAGTGTGAATCCTGGATCTCACCTATAGCCATGAGATCTTGGGCAAGTTACTAATTTCGCTGATCTTCAACTTCCTCATCTGTAAAATGGGTATGATAATGGTGCCTCCTCCTTAGACTTGCTGTGAAGATTAAAAGGAATAACCCATGTAAAGTGCCTGGCACTGAATTAGCCCTCAGTGCATGTGCTGAAGTATTGGTGGGGGGCACTTCTATAGCTATTTCTATAGTTGGGGGCCTGGAAGGCTGCCAGGCAGGAGAGCCATTGCAGAAAGGAGAAGGATTCCTGCCTGGGCAGGAATAGCTCTTGCCTACGACCTGTCTCCTTGACCATTCCTAATTCAGAGACTTTTTCCACGTCCTTCACCCTCTGCTTTGCACCTTGCTTGGGACATGTGTGCTCTGGTGGAGGCCCTTGGAAACTGTAGTTCCCAGAGCCATGTTGAGAACCATTCCATTCTTCACCACTGGTCTGGGGCTGGGCTCCCGGGAAGCTTGTGCTAGGATGAGGATTCTGGATTGATTGAGGAAGGAGAAATGAGGAACACAAAGTAGGGAAGAGACAGAAGCCAAGCCAAGAGTGTGATTTCATGTAAAGTCCTGGCTTTACCCAGGTCCCATAGGGGACCCCTGGGGGACAGGTTCCACCTTAGGGTAAAGGCCACCGGGGTGGAGGTGGAGTAAACTCCAGGCACGTATGGCTTCTGGCATGTGGGCTAGGAAGCTCTAAGAGCCCAGGGCAGGTCTCTGCATAGGGTCATAGGGCCTATCCCAGGGGAAGGACGCACAGCAACCATTGGCATCCAAGGGCTCTGGGGGCGCAGTACTGACAGTTGCATTGACGTCCTGAGCAGCTCCTCACTCAGTAGACTTGCATGGAGCCTGACACCTACTGAATGCCCAGACCTTCTCTCTGTGAGTTGTTCTGAAACAGTTCCGTCTCATTTTTTATGCCAAGGAACTCTGGTTACTGAAATATAGAGCTTTGTATATGCCCGTGTTAAATCCCTTCTCAATCATCATTTTGGCCTGGCCCAGTTTTGTCATCTGAAGCTATGACTAGTCCTTTATCAGTTTCCATCCAACTTGTTAGCGCAGGGCCAGATGGAGCCTGACTCTGGGTTGTTCTGAGGTCAGCACTGAT